TTGAAGTTTACTTAGGAAAGGCCACTTCTGACTCTGGTGAGAAAATGACAGCTTCTGTCATCCCGTAGGGAGGCTCCAAAGGTAAAAATTAACAGCTGCTACCACTTTCTAAAGAGACCGAGGAGAGTCTGTGAATTATCGCAGGATTTCGAGCAGTACTTTCCTCCACTTCTCTTACAGCCCTATCCTCACGTGTTTCCATAATACTTTCAAGTCCTACATCGCCACCCTCTCCTGCCTTTTTCCTTCCCACTCAGATGCCGATGTGTAACCACTGCCACGTTCAATAGCTGCTCGGGATGCTACAGTTCCAGGGCCCCGACACGGCCTGCAGGGGAAACGGCAAGGAGACAGCAGGCCAGACTGCTCATCAGGCTGACCTCTGCCCACAGCACCAAACCAGCCATCTCTGCCTTTCCCAAGAGGAAGCCACAGCCCCTCCCTGCACTGTGGCAAACCCTGACCCAAACCACTAGGGCCCTGTCCTATCGTTCACATCCGCTTTCATTTTGCCAAAACCCCAGCACGACTGCATCAGAAGAGATAAATGGAAAATTATATGATAAATTACAAGATGCTAAACTTGATTTCACTAGGCTGTCAAGGGATAGAGGTAACCTAGAGTTAAATATGACACACATGATGAATTCAAATGCCCCAGAAATCATATTGGTGAGAATTAAGGCACTCATTTACCACAGTGAGAATTACCTGTGTAGTACAAAGAACAACTTATCTTTCTGCTAGCCAAATTTTAAAGATAAGATTACAAGAAAAACATTTAAATATATTGAAAAAAAAATGGCTTCGAGAACTTGAAAATGAAGCAGGTTTGTGAAACTGAATGTAATAAATTCTGTTAACATAGCTGAGGATCATATTAATCAAAGTTTTGAGTTAATAATCACTCTAAATGGATTATCAATTTTTCAAAGGCTTTGAGTAACAAAAAAGCAAAACAAAATGAATCTTCCAAAATATCACATCTACTGTAAATGTACATTTTTTTTCCTTTGATATTTTAAAACGCTCTGGAAAATTCTTACATCCACATCCATTAGAATAGCTATCCACTTTGTAATGTCATCCTGGAACAACTTAAAACAATTCACTCTCTTACTGACCTAACTGTAGAGAAAACAAGCAAACGTTGCCACCATCTGAGATACCACGATCTTTAAGAAAAAAAAAAAAAATCCTATCTTTGAGGCTGCACGCATAGCTGTTTTCAAAATCCTATCTATCCTTTTCAACTAAAAACGATTTTTCACATGTACTGAAGATGGAGCATTAATTTTTTTCTTTTTAAAATTCATTTATCATTACAAACTACTGTTTTCTTAAGAATAGTTACTACTGGGACATCAGGACACAGGCTAGTGACATCAAGGAGATAATATGTGGAAAAGGTCTCTCAAGAAATCCAATTATTGAACATTCCTGACACTAAGTATCTCTTCAGAAATCTCAGGAAAAGAAATACCTGGAGCCAGGAGGCTGCACACTCCAACACTGGGATTCGACATACAGCCACTGCCATGGAGACCAGTTTTCCCAACAAGCTCATTCGACTGTCATCGGCTTTGTTCCCTTGGGGGCTGAAAAGGGATGAGAAAATAATCTGCCGGACAGAGTCCTTGGTTTGCTCCTGGAAATAATTGCACATGATTTCAAGAAGTTGGAGCTCCTGAAGTGAATTCAATCTCTACAAAACAAATCCAGGACAAGCGATAAGAAATTTAGTTTTAACATGCACATTAATTCATCCAGTAAGAAGACAGGAAATATTCTATGTTCCCCAGGACACATTTCACCCCTCTAAAGCCCAGGTGCCAAGGAATAGACCTCACCCGTTAATGCCAAGAAATGTCATTATACATCATTATGCAGCATGCCAGGGTCCTCGGAATGACCTACATACAGTGCTATGAGCCTCTCCATAACAGGCCTTCAAAGCCCCTTTCTTTAACACCATCGAGGCACGCCTGTTACACGCCCCGCGAAACAGGCACACAGCTGAGCAATGCTCAGGACTCCAGGGAAGGCAGGTTTGGGTTGCTGCTGCTGGAGGAAGGCCAAGGGCGAGAACGGGGCCCCGGACAGGAAGGATGTTTGTGGTTTGGCAAACACTTGTCACCGAGACAGAGGTAAAAAGAGCAGGAGCGGAGTGCTCCGGCCGCGGTCTGCCCGCCGCACCTTGGGCTGCGCGCCGCGCTCCTTGGGCACCTGGAACACGAACTCCTCCAGCAGCTCCACGGGGCCCTTGTCCACGATGGGCAGCGGCGCGCTCTGCAGCTGGCTGCTGAAGTAGATGTCCAGATGGTACAGCACCTCCTTGGCGGCGCTCAGCGCGTCGCGGCGCAGCAGCGAGTGGCGGATGTCGCTCATGGTGAGGCCGCAGCGGCCCGGGGCCCGGGG